CGTTTCTAGGATCGTGCAGGAAAATATGTAGGATCTAATAACCCTAGGTAAAAAGTGAAAGGACCACCGCCATAGGTCTGTATGGCGTGTTAATTGAGCAAGACCTGCTGGATCACATGGCCCAACTCAACCGGTTTTCACCGGAGTTCCAGCATTTGGTCCAGACGGTGGAGGCAACCTCGAGGCTTACAAGAAGCAAGCCAAGGTGGCATTTCTCGCAAGAAATATGTACCACAAACCATCCAGCGTCCATGCAAACTCTTTGGAGGAACTCTAGCTACACAGTTCACATGTGTAACTTAGCGCGTTCAAACATTCGCCCCACCTTGGTGGCCCGCGTAGAAGAGCCCTAGGATCGTGACAATCGGAGTCGTCCCGCCCGGGAATAAACTTTTCGGGAAAAGGTGCAAGCATGATGAAAAATCTCCTCTCGGGGCAATGATGGAGCGAAATGTGGTCTTCAACAAGCTTACATACCGTCAGACGCCTAATCCCGCCACCTCTCCATAACTTTCATCTCTCAAAACTCAAAACACCGAAAGATCTTTACACTAAGCTTTTAGCGTAGTGCAGGAGGACAACCATGTTGCAGGCAGTTAGCAAGCAACTAACTGCGCAAATGTGACACATAATTCTGCGTCCCATGGCTTGGAAGCCACATATCGCCCCTGTTATTCCCGTAGAATTCTATTACAAATATCACCCTTTTGTTGAGTTGAGTAAGTCATTGTGCAATAGCAACTGGCCCTGTAGAGCGAGCGGTTGTAGGATCCAGGATCATAAAACATTTTAGCATAGATAGGCATGAGTCCCAGTTCTAGACCAAAATTAAGCCCAAGCTCAAGGACAAGTCTCAGATACAACAAACAGGGCAAGATCAACAACCAACGTTTCATTGCACAGGAGTGGAAGATAGGCTTGAAGACTGTATGGACATGTATGTGCTACTTTGACAGCTGCAGTTCAATCCGATCTGTGGCCAATACAGCCATCCGTCTCGTGCAAATACAACAGATGGTCCAAACTGTCGAGGTCAACATCGAGGGCTTCACCAAGCTCCAAATCAAGGGCGCCTTCCTTGCATGTGAGCTGTATGTCAATTTGCAATTTGCATCGGCCACTACTGGAAGATTTCAAGAACAGGATCTGGGCTAGACAGATTTGAGACTGTCCAGTGAAGCTAGACAATGTCAACAATGTAAACTTGCATCGGCCACCACTGGAGGATTACAAGAACAGGATCCGAGCTGGACAGATTCGAGAAGGAAGGGTAGCTGAACCTATCTTTCAATAAAAACTGGACCTGACTTCAGCCATGTTGCCAAAAAGGCTGGTATCCATACATACCCCAAGAGAAGTAAAATTTGTAAATTTGGCTTTGCTTTCCCAAGCAATACAAGTTTACGTGGGTTGGCGCACCCGGAGGGACCTCTTGTTAGGGGTCGATCTTTGCCAGGAAGGTGGTACTAGCTAGTACCTGGTACCGGTACGATACCTGTGAGTCGAGTGACCGAGTCGAGTCACTCGACTCGACTCACCAGGCTTTGTGACAACCAGTGACGAACGATGACATCATTCACCCATCACTCATTTCGATCACCGACCCGACCGTCTCCCTCATCCGACGGAAGAACAGAACCTAGCCAACACACAACTTTGCCTTTGTAGAGGACGGGCAACTATATTATTAGTCTACTGGTGACTAACTGAACACAAATACCACCACATTTTTAAAAAACAAAGAGCAACAACACCATGTTTTTCTGGACCCGCCCCTGGACGACGCAAGTGTTGGTGGCGTTGGCATCGAGCGACAAAGCCATGCCGACGATTCCCGAATGGATCTTTGAAGTGTGGATGGATTCCTTCTTGCTGCTGCCGTTGGCCATTGTGGTGGGACAGGTACACATTCGATTGTCCGCTTCGCTCAAACTGCCCAAGGCCGTCCGAGCGAGCCTTCCACCCGCCATTTGGACCCTTTTGCTGCAGTGTCTATTCAGTGACGTTTTCTTTCGTCTCTTGCTCTGGAGTGTCGCCGGACTGGTGGATCTTCAGGAAGATACAATTATTGCGACAACCGACGGATGGAAGGATCACTGGGGGTGGAATGGACCTTTTATTCTGTTCACCGTTCGTCTCGTCGTCGCGATACTGGGCGTTGCCGTGGGAGAAACCTTTTTCCCTTTGGTCCTGACGGGTGGCATTGCCTGTGGCAAAAGCACCATCTCCAAGTTACTGGCGGAAAAGGCCCAGTTTCACATGATTGACGCCGACAAAATTGGACATCAGATCCTATTGCCACCGTGGCACGAACAGCTGAATCAACCCGATGCATTGGTGACGCCCAACGATTCCGTCTATGTGCGAATACTAGAAACCTTTGCCAATGACGCGGATCAGGCAGCGGCGGCTGCTACGGAAAACAATGATAGCAAACTGGGAACCGCCGTGGCCGGAATCCACGACAAACACCCCTTACTCGACGACGACAAGAATATCGATCGGACCAAATTGGGAGCCCGGATCTTTGCCACTCCCGCCGAACGCCAAAAGCTCAATGCCATTACGCATCCCAAAATCTTTTATTGTCTCATCAAAAACATGGCCAAATCGCTCTATTTTGGCAACGACAAGCCCTTTGTGTGTGCTGAAGTACCGCTCTTGTTTGAAAGTGGAGCCTTGCGGTATATTTTTGGAATGGTCTTGGTGGTGGCATGTACCGAAACGCAACAATTCAACCGCCTCCACAAACGAAATCCCGAATTGTCGGTAGAAGAATGTCAAAAGCGGATCGAATCCCAACTCCCCATGACGGTCAAGGTCCAACGAGCGGATATTGTATTGTGGAATGATCAAGACTATTCGTCGTTGTCGTCCAACAACAAAAAGGAGGAGGAGAGTGATGAGAAGAAGAAAGGGGCACCACAGGAGGAGGACGAAACGGTCAAGGCGCAGCGTGAAGCGGCCCTGTCCAAGCAAGTAGACAAGGCAGTGCGGATGGTGCGACAAAAAACGGGTGGGATCATGGAAACCACTCTGTCACGATTGATGCTCCTGCTGAGTGCGTCCGTGGTCCTATCCGCTTGCTTTAAATTGTTCACTGGGAATGTATGAAACGATAACAATTAACATCAATGAGAATGATACCGTAGAGGAAGGGATGGCCGTCGTTATGCTGGTGTCGTCAACGTACGTCAGCAGTGGATTTCATGCTTCCTCCAATTTTGCCCAAATCATGCTACCATAAATAGTCAAGAGACAGAACAGCTTGCTTGCCACTGAGGGTCTGGCCTCTTCAAACAATGCTGTTTGATGCTTGCACCACCGCAGTGATTCTGTATCCCTTAGAATGCCAACACAACAAAAGACAGGTACTTGGCAGAAACTGGGTACTTGGGGGTTGCACACACCTAACTGTAGAGGACAGTAGCTATGAAAGGAGTAGTTGACTTGGTCAGCCCAGTTTGAGCTGTTAATGTTCCATACTTGATTGAACCAAACAAAAAGAGCATGATGTCAACGGTTCAGAACAGAATGATGGACACTGGTTGAGTTCAAGAGCAAAGCAGGCCTGCTGGATATAGCTGCATCGACAACATCCACTGAAACAACCAGATGATGCTGAAAGGAGTTGCGCTGTTTGGAAGATTCTGTAGCTCGGGACTCCTATCAACTGGGGGCTTGGCTTTGTTGTGGGATCAAATGGTAGAACACATCATTGGGAAATTGGAATACATGTATTGATTTCGCAGCACAAAGAGAAGCCTGGCCCTTGCTGCCTTGCGGCCTTGCTGGCTTCCGTAGATAATCCACCGCTAATGGATAAATAAACTCTCTAGGGGGGGGGGTTAGAGTAGGGAAATTATCTACGGAAGCCAGCCGGGGCCAGGCTTAAGCAAAGAACAGTCGAAATTCAGGACTAGGTTCTGTGGGATCAGGGGCAAGAAATGGAGGACTAAATAAATGATGCGTAAAAAAAGAGCAAATAAAAAGTTGATGAAAAACATCTGGGAAGTGGGATGGAGAGCTGCAAATGCTGAAGCTTGAGGTGGTGCACGTGTCGCAGAAGAAGGAGCAGCTGCGTGAAGTGTGTTTTGGAAATCATTTTACAGCGACTGGGAACTGGGAATGGGCCATAATCCTGTCTTGGCGGAGTTCTCTCCCAGAGCGTGCAAAACCACCAACTCGCGATGGCAGTACTAGTACTCAGCGTAGTGGTACCACCAGTATTTTAATACTAGTATACGAGAAAATGCCTAAAGTGCACTGTACTCGGCGTACAAAGAGTTACATGATGTGTGCTACCGGTCTCGCCTGGTAAGCTCCTGGTTCCTCGTACTTCTCGAGCAAAAGTTTGTTCGCGTGGGACCAACATTATTTACTCTATTTACTCGAACAATCTATGCATATTCCGAACCTCTCGCAACTGTTGTAATGTACGGTACTAGTAGCTAGCTCAGTAGTACCGGTAGTTCTAGTACGTTAAAGCTTGCTTTTAATAAATCATTGGAGCTCTACAGATCTACAGATCCACAAGACTTATTTATGTACACTGAGTTCACTCAAGATGCCATCTCACATGAGTGGATGTCAAGAAGGACTATCGCGGCAAGGAGGCAAAGGGTCGAGAGTTTCATCACAAAACACATAAAAATTCAAGAGGTCTTCAGATCTGAAACCGAAACACTCACCCACTCCCCTTGGCATCTTCCTCCAAATTCACAATGAAGCTCTCCACACTTCCTTTCCTTCTTGTCTCGGCTATCCATGTTCATGCTCAGACCGCAGATCCTACCTGTGCCACCGGTATTCCCGCATCCATTTATCAAATTAATGGGGCCGATTATCAGTCTTGTTGTCCATCAAGCTGCACTGCATGTGGTGGTCCTGGGTGTAGCCAACGTCCGGGTGGCAGCGAATGCTGCAATGGTGGCATTCGTGTTCTTGGCTACTCCTGCGATACTCAGGGACCTCCCTGCCTGCTCAGCGCTCCCTTTACACCGTACCAGGATCCTACCTGTGCCACCGGCCTTACCAGCGACATTTTTGAGATTTCTGGGGTAGAATATCAGGCTTGTTGCCCAACTAGCTGCACTTCATGTGGCGGTGATCGTTGCGACGACCTTCCGGGAGGACCCGACAATTGCTGTGATACTGAAATCCGTGAAAGAGGCAACTCCTGCGATGATCAGGGACCTCCCTGCCTTGCCTCTGTACCCGAGCCAACGAACCCTCCCCCAACCACAACTGCAGGAGGTGGTGGCGATCCCCACTTCAAGGTAAGCACCCGATAGCATGTCAACCCACCCTCCAGCTTGTAGCTGGATGTTGTCTCACTTTTCTTGCTTGTAATACATGCTCTCAGACTTGGCATAGCATGTGGTATGACTTCCATGGCATCTGTGACTTGCTCCTCATGGAGGATAAAAGCTTTGCCAATGGGCTAGGTTTGACCATCCACATTCGTACCAAGGAACGCTGGCAGTATTCCTATATTGAGACTGCTGCGGTGAATATCGGTGATGAAACTTTGGAGGTGTCTAGCTTTGGCCAATACCTGGTGGATGGAGTTTCTCAGGCAGACATGCCGATTGAGATGGGAGGACAGTTCTTTGTCTCTCATGAGCAGAAGAGTGATAAATCACATGAATTCGTTGTCAAGACCGGCAAGACTGAGGCTATCAAACTCACTACATTCAAAGATATGGTGTCTGTGACTGTGGAGAATGCGACAGCTGCAAACTTTGAACGGAGTGTCGGATTGATGGGTAACTTCGTAACTGGCCAGCTGGTTGGCAGGGATGGAACCACTGTCTTTGAGGACCACAATGCCTTTGGCCAGGAATGGCAAGTCTTGCCCAGTGAACCCCGGCTCTTCCAGACCCCTTCTCCTTACGCGAGCAAGGCCTGTGTCCCTTCCACTGCCACCAAGGGCCGTCGTTTGGGTGAGGCCATCTCTGTTGAGGCTGCTGAGGAGGCCTGTGCTTTTCACAACGACGAGGAAATGAAAGACATGTGCATCTTTGATGTGATTGCCATGAATGACTTGGAAGTTTCCCATGCTCATGGCGCCTTTTAAACAGCAGTGGTGAAGCATTTTAAGAGTGTTTGACTGCGGAACGACCATTGCACTTTTACATTAGGTGGAAGCATGGTTGCTATAGTGTGGCTGTGTTTGTTCGTCTGCTTCCGTGAACCAATGTACCTTAACCCCTACATGTTTTACAAAAACAAGAAAATGATGCATGCATTGGCCCACTGCCCAGCAGTTTACGTTTGTCTGTATCCGTAAGGTACAACGTACGGTACAACCCTTAGAAGCTGGCTCGAGGTTTTTACATTGCGTTGTCCTGTGGTGTCACGCTGTCGGAAGCGCGCTTTAATCCACATACAATGGATGGTTTAGAGGCAGAAATGGGGCAGAAAGGGCGCGAAATGGCGATTTACACCAAATTCCGATTTGTACTTGTGTTTCCATTTTATATTTTGGTTCGGGTTTTATATTTTGGTTTCGATCTTATATGTTGGTTTCGACTTGATTTTACTAGTTAATTGCCATAGTAATTTGATTTCGATTTTATATTTAGGTTTCGATTTTATATTGAAGTTTCGATTTTATATTTAGGTTTCGAATTGATCAATTTGGTTGGATTCATAAAATCGTGATTTCCGGCCCTTTCACACATCCTTGTAATCACTTTGAACTTCCCCATGATGTCATTGCTCACCGGGAGCGGGGAGCCAGTTCTAGCTGCATTGTCGCTTTATTACTCGTGTATTACTATAAAAGGATTACCAGTAGTTTACTTGGCACATTTCCCAAAACCACGCCCTACCCCCAGGTTATAGCCAACAGCACAACCAGCAACAATCAAGAACAGAAGTTAAAAGGGTCTTGTTGTGTGCTCTGCTTGCCTTGCATGAAACATGGCATTTTCTAGGCTATGGATCCTTCCCGCCCAACAAGCATTCCCCTGGCTTTGATGACCCACAATGGCGTTGGGAAACGAAGGCGTGGACTGGCTGCCTGTTTGATATGTTTGGTGTAAGAAGCTTCTGCCGTAGCTAGTAGGAAACATGCTGTGAAAGTAGCTAGGGCATGAAATGCTTCGCACTGGTCTTTTACATCGGGTGAGTGGGATCAGGGGCAAGAAATTGAGGACCAGTACGGGGGCCAAATGGTTTGGCTTTGCGAGATCCACGGAGACATAAATGGGTAGCTTTCACAAGGGCAATTGAGATACGGGTCTGCATGAAAAACATCATTTGAGAGTAGGAAAACTGAGTTTTGGAGGCAGTAGCAGAAGCAAGCCGTTGTAAGAGAATCTTGGCTTGGGGGGCAAGCATGCCATCCACAGAAACAACAAAGGGATGGAAGGAAGCGCGATTGGAGACGCACGCTTCTTTATATTTGGAAATTTTGTCGCGTTCTTGTTGGGTTAACACTTTGACGGGATCTTTGTTTAGGTAAGAGGCACAGTCCAAATCAGTGACACGTACGTCAATAATAGCTGTAGTACCACGTTCGAACAAGCCGTGAATGGAAAGATCACCACGTAAGAGCTCGGGGGCTGGAGGGGGATTGAGAGGGGGGGGAGGAAGTGTTGGATGATGGTGGAGCAACGCAGCAACGCAGTACTGGTACCTCTACCAGTACAGCTGTACACTGTATGCAGTCTAGCTCGAGTAGACTCGTGACTCGTCGCACAGCCTCACTGGTATGGCATACCGGTACCTCTCCTTTGCTTTGCTTAAGCCTGGCACCGGCCGGCTACTCTAACATTGCCAATTGCTATGCACCTTGCATTACTGGTACATCCGGCCTACTAGCTAGCCCACTTATTGAAGACTTCTCCTTTCGTACGGGAATGACAAAAGGCGTCTAGAATGCGTTTATCAAAATAAATACTGTGTTCGATCATTGGGCTAATTCCGGTTGAGTACATAGCCGCAACAGTGTACGGTTTGCCTCTGCTCTAGTAATAGTCTAGCTGCCTACAGTATCGAGTGATAGTCGTCTCACGCGGACCATTATAGACAGACACAGGTGCCACCGATACATTGAGTGGCCGTTTTGGCCATCCTTTTGACCACTCACTCCCATCATTTCCAAAAGGGAACTGTGCCATCCTCTTGCTCACAATTCCAAAAGGAAAACGCCACCAAAAGACACTTTCAGCTCAATCTCACAATCATCGTGCTTTCAAATCAAACCATGAAGTTCATCTTTTCAACTGCCTTGATGCTGGCCTGGTCTTCCTTGCCATCAAGCAATGCTCAATCTTGTTACTCTACAAGTTGGCAAGACAGGGGCACGGGCGATCAAGGCCAAGGTCTGCTTCGCATGAATTGGCAACAGAGGAAGGACTCATGCGAAGGTCAAGGTCTTCGACTCTGCACCTACGATGAACTCTGTCCTGGTGGCGCTGGCATGGACGCTCTTGGATTGCCAGCCCAGAATGTTGGAGACATGTGGGTTGCTGTTTCGGACTCATTCTGGTGCTCCAGCAATGCTTTTGTTCAGTTGGGAGATCATCCAGCTGCTAATGCACAACCTGAAAAATGCTGGACACATGACGCTGTAGCTGGCTTTTGCCCATCCTGGGGAACTCGGGTCACATTTGACTTGGTTGAATTTCACCAATGGAATGTTTGCTGCGAAGACACCACATGCCCTACGAGTACAAGTGCTGGAGGTGGTGGTGATCCCCACTTCAAGGTAAGCCATGGAAATCTTGTTGTGCCATCCATGAGATATTGCAGCTGTTGACATTTTGGTTTCTTCCCTCACTACATAGACCTGGAATAGCACCTGGTATGACTTCCATGGCATCTGTGACTTGCTACTTGTGGAGGATAAAAACTTTGCCAATGGACTTGGTTTGACCATCCACATCCGAACCAAGGAACGCTGGGAGTACTCCTATATCGAGACAGCTGCCGTGAAAATCGGTGATACTACTTTGGAAGTGTCCAGCTGTGGCCACTACGCGATGGATGGGGTTTCTCAGGCAGACATGCCTGCTGAGATGGGAGGACAGTTCCTTGTCTCTCATGAACAGAAGAGCGAAAAAGAGCATGTCTTTACCATCAAGACTGACAAGAATGAGGCCATCAAGATTACTACTTTTAAGGACATGGTTTCTGTGACTGTGGAGAATGCCAGTGTTGCCAACTATGTAAGCAGTGTTGGACTTATGGGTGACTTCTTGACGGGCAAGTTGCTAGGCAGGGATGGAACTACTGTCTTTGAGGACCACAATGCCTTTGGCCAAGAATGGCAAGTGTCGCCCAGTGAACCCCAGCTCTTCCAGACCCCTTCTCCTTATGTTGGCAAGGCCTGTGTCCCTCCTACTGCCACCAAGGGCCGCCGTCTTGGAGAGACTATCTCTATGGAAGCTGCTGAGAAGGCCTGTGCCCACCACAAGGATGAGGAAATGAAAGACATGTGCATCTTTGATGTCATTGCCATGGGTGACTTGGAGGTTGCCCATGCCCACGGTGCCTTTTAAACAGCAGTATGAATGGTGAAGCATTCAGAATGGTTGGTTGTGGAATGAGTGTGGAGCTCCTTTTTGTCAAGAATGGCGGATCCACTTTTCCAGCGAGTGGAAGCATGATTGCCAGTTGGGCTGTGCTTGTTTGTCTACTTGCAAGATCCAACGTACCATAATCCCTACATATTTAGTCAACAAAGCAAGTCTTCAGTTTGCATTATAGGTTTTCCCTTGTGCCCACCTCCTCTTAGCAGCTCATCAGCTAGCCAAGTCTGTCATTGGACTCTGTTACATACAGAAGAGAGTGCCTGGTGGTGTGTTGTTGGCATCTGTGATGATAGCACAGGACGGAAGGAGTCCACGGGGATTCTTGCTGGGGATGGAACTGGAGCTGGAATGCATGCAAATGTGTTGGTGGATCCGTTGGTGTTGCCAGTGCCATTGGGTGCTGTTGGTGTGACACCACTCGGCGGCCTGTGCGTCTTGTTGCTTCTTCTTCTTCTTTCTTGCAAGCCATGATAACTGTTGGTGCGCTGACTAGATCGCGCGCTGACTAGATAGCGTAGTACAGTACGGTAGTGTAGTGGTGTTGCTTGTTCCTTGAAACTTTATGTTTGGTTGGTGTGGGTGTTTATGAGTGGCTAGAGATGCTTCACAATCACCGTCTCCGAAATCCAAAAAGGATTTCGAGAGCTGCACTGCTATCGGTAGCAAGCAAGTAGATTACCAAGCAGGACCTCCTCTACCTGGTATCCACTACTACCGGTCGTACCCTTGGATACCTTGGATACCTTTGTTACCGGTAACAGTATAAAAAGCGTCTTCGAGTTTGTTTGTCTTCGAGCGCCTTCGAATGCCTTGGGGTTACCAGTACCGGTACTGGAATACTAGTATGCTGTCGATCTCTGGGAGCGACGGGGCGTTCTTCTTGATGAGCTCGAAGACTAATTCTAAAGGTGGAAGATGTGAGGAGCGCGAGGCGTCGACGCGCTTCCGTACCATACAGGATGTGTGAGTACCGGTGCCGTGTGAGTACCGGTACTAGATCTAGTACCCGTTCTTTGGCGGCCCACCCAGCGGAAGCACGACTGCAAAATCCCCACTTTTCCCCGTTTTGGTGCGGCGTTGGGTCCAAGCTACCAGTACATCGCACTGTTACCAAGCAAGAGGATGATCTTGATATCCGGGCCGATTTACAAGAAGACAATACTCAGAGCCACCAACAAGAGTAGTCAACAATGAACTGAGAACACTGTGTCATTGAACCAACCATGCACCCTTACAATACTCAACATCGGTCGATTGGAGGCAATCTTCTATGAGCAAGCCATCCACCTTGACTGGAAGGATGACCTCCACTAGCTAGAAGACAATGCCCAATGACAACAACAATCAGAAAAGAAAACAACTGCATGAAAACAAAGTACCTTATTCATCTGCAAAATATCAAAAAGCTTCTTGTACCATTAATTTCTTCAGTTCATCAGCAAATTAGCAGGTTGTCCGTGTGGTCTAGAGGTATGATTCCTGCTTTGGGATGAACAACATCGAATTTGCAGGAGGCCCCGGGTTCGAATCCCGGCACGGACCAATTTTTAGCCAGCAGAGCTATGCATAAATCTTTTGATCCTAAGAATCAGAGCTGTTTCTTTTGGTGCTGGACTGCTACAGCACCCTTCCAATGGAGGCAAGGGTACTTTGCCATCTCGTTTACCAACAATTTCAACTTTTTCCGTTGTTTTCTCTTCTGGTTTTTGTTGTCTCTGGGAATTGTCTTCTAGCTATTAATAGCATAGGTTATCATTCCAACCAAGCAAAAAAGGCAAGGTAGATGGCTTGATCATAGCATATTCCCTCCACATGAGGCAACAATGAAAATGACGCAAACTTTCAAACTACCAGTATCAAGACACGTCCATTTCTCCTCCTACTAGCTAGCTCTAGCAGCTAGCGAGGTTTTGGCATGTGTTGTGGGCTACATGTACTCGAGTACCTTTTGTGGTACCGGTATCGGGCGTGTTCTCCGATCCACAATCTTGCGGCTTTGCAGTGCAAGCAGTCACAGTTAGAGCTGTTGCAGTCACGGTTAGATCCCCTTGGATGTGCGACCGGTTCCTTGAAACTTGAAGCTGCACGGCTACTGTAGTCAGCAGTATCAGGTACGGTACTCCGAGTGAGTGTGCAGTGAGCAACTCATCAAGCTAGCTACCGTACGGTACGGTACAGCGTACATGTACCAGGTAACTGAGGAGTTTATGTACTTCAGGAGAACTCAGACTCCGCAAATGAGTACTGTACTGAAGTACGAGGACAGAAGCCAGAATGACCGTGAATTGAGCCGAGCCTTTTTTCTCTCCGCCGCCAAGCACTGAGTACACCGTACCGTACGAGCTCCGTACGATTCTTGAGGGGCTCTCGGCTCTTCGGACTTGGGACTCCGCCAAGGCCCAAGGTGAATAAAGCTGGAGTCTAAAGTTGGTCACCATCTTTCACTTTGCAACTGCAGGATTTAAAGGTCAATCTTGGGGTACAACAATGGGCAAGAAGGGCAGATGTACAGTACATGTATGTGTTGCCAGTTGCCAGTGGTACATCGCTACACTGCCTCATCTGATGCCTTCAAGCAACTACCACTGTACGTTGCTACAACGGTACAGTACGGTACTAGTGATGAGCTGTACATGTATGTACACTATCTGCCGCCGACAAATCTTGCAAGCAGCATTCTTTGCATTCATTGGATCAGGGGGCCAAAAGCTTTTTGTAACTATTCTCGTCCTTCGATTGCCGATTTCGTACCGGTACAGTCGTACCCTCTTGACCATTGAGGCTTTTGGAGGTAGCACCGTAGTAACCTCGAAAAGCAAAGAAAAGAAAAGGTTGGAGGTCTCACAAGCTGAAGATTGAATCATTATTAGCATCAAGTTCCCATCACCATCACCAACAGATACTAAAGACAATGCACCGACACTCCACCGAGAGTGCTGATGCCCCTTGGGAGCGGCCCTTGAGGCCAGCCAATTTCATGTCGCTCTCGTCTCGTCGAGGAGAAGATCATACCATACCAAAGTGTCCTGTTCCCATCACCAGCCCAACCAGACGAGTCATGAGAAACAACTTGAATGATACCCTGGCAAGTGATTGCTGGTCCTCTGGTTCAACCGAAAGCGATGCAAGTGCTCGTCAGAAGAAAGATAAGCAAGTCAGTCCTCCTTGCAAGCCGTCCACCCAGAGCACAAACTTTTGTCGTAAGTCAGTCCAAGTCATACGGTAGACAACGGTCACGATGATAGTATTGCACAAGCCTCAACCTTGTTTTGTGTTTCTCTTTTTTCTCTGTGGGAATTCCAGGGACCTCAAAACCCGCAAGCCAAGCACCCAAGGAGGGACACGCCATCAGCCAACTAATGCAAAGAAACATGCCCAGATTGTATCCTAATCTTGATGAAATGAATACCAACCATTCTGCAAAGCGGGCTGCTACGTTGTCTAAGATGGATGCGCACCGTCGCCAACGAATCCAGTGCCGGTCACAAAAGCTCTGCCAGGGGTCAGAGCAAGAAGCTCAGGATGTTCCCGTCGTTACTGCACCCCAAGATCGCGTCGTTGAAAGAAACGACTCCTCCTCGGAGGCAAAGAGTTGCCTCCAAGACCAGGAACGTCAAGACATGATCCACCACCACCAAGTAGAAGTGAAGACTGATGATGGTGTGGATGGCGCCTCGCAAAAGTCCGAGGACAACAAAGAAGACGAGTCGGAAGAAATGTCCAAAACGCCGTCGTTCTTCCATGACATGGGCCCTTCTTCTCATCATGACGAGATGTCCAACACGCCGTCGTTCTTTCATGACATGGACCCATCTTCTCACCATTACCGACAACAACAAAGTCACAGCACAAGGAACCAAGCATCCAACCCCATGGGCGGCGACAAGGCCATCCCCAAGGCATTGGACAAAACCTATCTGAAGCAACTGGCGTCCCAGCACCGTTTCAGTGTCAGTGCCAATATCATATCTGGAACCGGACGAGCAACAGTCGATGGTCCTGTTCCTGCACCTCGTCAGCTACCTACCCCTGGAGCCAACAACGGGGGGACACTTGTGACTCCTCCGGTCAGTCCATTCGTGTGCCAGGGCTCGCCCCGAACTGCAACAAGACATCAGTACGTTCCTTCCACCACCGCCACAGCAAATAAAAATCAAACCAAAAAAGAGAGAATGATGGTGGAGGTATGGCCCGGTTTGAGTGCTCCTCTTCGGGGATCGGATGAAACGGTGACAGCCGTGGCCCATCGCTTCTATACATCCTTCATTTGCTTTGGATGCACTACTCGAGTCTATTGCATTGCCGATGTCCAGTTTGCCATTTGTCCCGTTTGCCGTGTCATTAGTCCGCTGGAACATGAGGACACCTATTGTGGTCAACCCATACCCGAGCGCTGGGGACTGGGCCTGGGGTTCACATCCGACAGCCTCTGGAACATGCAAGTTGACATTGCCGCATTTGGTGGAATGTGAGGCTGTTTTACTTATTACGGCATAAGGTACTTTTCTTTGTAAATGTGTATTAGACTACTGGAAAGTACAGTCAGTTGTAGTCTGCACATTTCAATGGTTCCTTCTCTCAAGCTCAGAGCATCAGCTGAGAAGGATCCATGGAAGTGGCCAAATACATGTAGGAAGTTGAGTGGCCAAACCCTACGAATTGCGCAACCTCTCCTTTGGACTGTTGTCCTAGAGCATATGTATCTCCAATTCTGTTTGTCTGCCGCTCAGCTAGTAAGCTAGCTCGACTCCTTTTCATCCAGTGTCGTGGTTGTGTTGGTTGGTGCTGGCAGGAGCTCAAAGCATTCTTTAGCCTTGTTCCAATCTTGTATTTGCATGCCTCTTGGAGTGTAGAAGCATTTCACTCCTAGAGCCGAAACGCTCCGTATATTCCCACTTTCATTGTCAAAAAACGCCATCTGCTCAAAGGGGATCCCAGTCTTCTTGTGAAGACGTGTCAAGTGTTGTCGTTTGGAGCCATACGAGATCTCTACGAGGTGGCCGTTGTCAAAGCACGATATCAAAGTTGTAGTGCAGTCATTGTCAATCACGAGATGATCCATGCATATTCGTGCCCAACTGGGAGCATCGGTTTTGGAGGCAACCGCAGCTTGAATATCGACTCCAGCTGCCTTGAGCCTTTCAATTTCCGACAGTGCAACAGCTCTGGTATCCATGGCAATCAACAATGGATATGATAAAACAAACGAGACAACATGTGAACATGTGAGACGTGACTTAGCTTCCAAGAAAGAAGTGCATACACTGTGTAGGTACGCTTTTTTGATACTCACGCCCCACCAAATACTCGCATAGGTGAATTGCGCCTATCAGTGAGAATATAGCCTGCTTTCGTTGTTCTTGCTTCTTTCAAAACCTGGGCAGAGAGTCGCTTGTTATACTTGTTATCAATAGGTTTCAAGGTGGGTTCTCCATAGAGTTGATACATCTTGAGATAGTTTCAAATAAGGTGTGGTTGTTCATGAGATGACTCCGCCTTTGTCAACAAGCAAAGCAAGAGCCGCCAGTAGTGGTACAGTGATGGGCGTAACCTCTACTAGAAACTTCTCACCTCGGGCTGCCAAATCGTGTAGTCGAGGTCAAAAACCGCCAGCCTCAGCGGTGGCTTTGCTGAGGCATCATTTTCGGTTCTTTCCTCACTTTGCTGTGATGTTTTGTGTCGCTTTTGCCGATTGGTTTTACCCATGGTGTCTGCTGAGACGTTACGTGGGTTGTTGTGGTTACTTTGTGATGCTCATTGAATCACAATATTATTGTGGTTAATTATGATATGTTACGGTAGCTAGGAGCAATATACCAGTACCGATGGGCTACATTGCCTCACTCTTTTCCGGTCTCGAACGGGGTTAGTCTTGCTCCTTTCCTCCTCCCTGCACTCCTGCCTTCACCCCTTTCCTTGGTTTCCATGTTGCCCTGCTTGCGCACTTGATTGCTTGCCTTGCGTTCCTGCATCGTGCCCTCCCCTCGAGCTCTGTCCCCATCCTCATCTTAGCTCTCTCTAATCCATATTAAACACACATCTGATTCGTTTAGAGCCGGTAGGAGTACTCTTACAGAGTTTCGTTTTTATGTTAGCTGGGTATGTTCAAAGGGGGGCGAGGGGAGGAGCATGAGGTCACTCTATCCAATACTGGTAGTCTAGAGTGGTAGGAACCGAAGGGCATCATTCTCCATCACAAAAGGCTACGATCTTGGCTTTTTTCGCCAAGTCTTGCTGGCAACTAGCCACTCCTCCCTCCTCCACGCAATGCTCACCATCCCCACAACGTGTGAATGTATCAGCATACTCCTCCCAAACCCATCTTGCAGTGTTTATTTCACACTGCTTGTAGGCAGTCACAGCATACACCCCATCACAATAACTAGGAAGCTGAACTCGGTCATCAAAGCCATAGAAAATCCCATCATTGTCTTCACACTGGACATCTTCACTCTGTGCGGTGTCCTCATTGCACAGTGTCCCCCCGCGACAGAAAACATCTTCTTGTTGAAAGTCCCAATCTGCATCTTTGTTTCCAAAGTTGTAACAGACTTGATGTACAATAACCGCAGAATATCCATCATTGCAGAAATCTTCTGCTGGGGCCCTTATGCGGTCACCCACGTTGTACACCGAGCCATCCATTTCACATGTTGGCGGTGGTACAAACTCACAAACTGCCGCCCCTCCTTGCTCCACACACTGCTCACCACTATGGCCACAGTTCGATGTCTGTCCAAGGTCTTCGAAAATCTCAAAAGACCCGACACCGTTCACTTCTTCACGTTGTTTGTAGGTGGCAGCAACAATGTCTCCATCACAGTATGCAGGAAGATCAACTCTATCATCGTAATTGTAAATAATGACATTGTCCTCACATTGGACACCAACACATGAGGCTGACTCTTGGTTGCAGACCTTACCAATACCACACGATGCTAGGTCGTCGTCAGCTCTCCAATCTACATTGTTGTTTCCAAGATCGGTGCAAACTTCATACGCTGTCACTGCCGTATAGTATCCCGCACAGTGATCCTCTTGTTGAGCTCTAATGCGATCACCTATGTTGTAGGTCACACCATCCCTGTCGCAGGTTCTTGGCACGGGCAGGCATTGTGCTTGTCGTCCTTCTTCACCATCCATCGTGACGACGCAGTGCTCATCATCCGCGCATTCGAGGCGATCGTCGTCGCCACGCCAACTTGGGGAGGAATTGACGCCACTGCAAATGTCAAAGCCGGTAACGGCAATTCGATTGTCATCGCCCTCGCATCCACTCCACTCTGAGTTTTGAATGCGTGCCCCCACAGGATAAATGACTCCATCCTTTTCGCAGTGGTGGTCGTCAGCTTTCACAGCAGCCACGATCAGAGGCAGAAACAAGACAATAGTATTTGATTTCATGTTTGTTCTTTGTTTTCAAGTTGTTAGCTCGTCAGGAGAACTAGATTTTGTGAGCACTTGTTGCACTTTGAGCCACTGCTTGCCGGCATTTCCGGTAGCCTGCAGGGTGCAAAGGAGAACTGGGACTGAGGACTCCCACGTACGCTGCAGATAAAGTCCAGCTCAGGCGTTTTCTCTCCACTGCACGGTACGGTACCGTAGCAAGTGCATCCACCACTGATCGATGTTCCAAAGTAAGCTGGATTGCATCAGGCATACTGGGTACCGGTATGAAGCATCACGATGTGCGGTCGAAGTGAGATTGTTGATGGTCTTCCAGTGTTGAGGAAGGGTATTTCGAATTTCTTCGACGCCGGAAGAAAAGGTCTCCCAAAGCAAGTCAAGGACCGTACGGCAAGAAAAGCACGCTGTACAGAGTTTTGTGAGTCACTCCAGGTGGAATGGGAACAGGATGGGTGTTTGCAGCAGCCAGGAGAGGGCAACCCGGTCAGACCATAGCTTCGAAAACAGTTGCATCTGATGGTACCCCTTCGTTAGTCGTTGAGAGCCATTCGGTGCCCTGGCGCCGGCACCATAACTGGTATCAAAGAATAGAGGGGGCCCAAACCTTGAGCTATCAATGATGGGCTGTGTAGTGGTACCGGTGTGCTCTCTTGAGCTCCACTCCTGGACCTCCGTCTGGCTGGCCTAGCATGTCGCCTTTCGCCCGACAGCCTGACCTACGCCTGTCCCTGGACCATCTCCAGGGCCATCTTGTTACCATATGTGCTTGTCTGGTGCGACTTCTGTCACCCCCCTCCCCTCTACATCCAATGTCATCATTCATAACTCTCCAACTCAAAACCCTCTAATAACACCTTCGCTAGCTAGCTATCGGTTGAACGGTAGGTTTGTCCGTGCCTACTGTGTGCGTGCCCAGCTACCCTTACGCTTATACAATCAGTCAGGGTGAGGGATATTCTCATCATCGGAATTTCAACCACAATCCGGTTTTCAAGTTCTTCAAAGTCCGTGTGACATCATCGCTGACTTGAGCTGATGCCAAAAGCGTCACTTTTTTGTGGCCGTTCCAAGAACTTTCATTTTTCTTCCTCGACATTGGCTCGTTGGCTTTTGGGTTCGTAGTACGTTGTTGCTCTTGTAGTACTGTAGAAGTTTGCCTCGCAACCAATAGTAGCCCGGCTATCAATCGTCTTCCTCATCGTCATTCCAAAAAGGACGGAAGAAAGAGCACACATTTTCTCACTTGACATTAATTTTTGGCATCAAGAGAACAAGAGACATCTTTTTGTCATCCCAAGCAAGCTTTATTGCTGGCATTAATTTCGGCAATGACCATGGAGAGTTTGGTTCCTACCGATTCCATCAAAGCCAACAAGCTGGAGGATGCCCGAGATAAGCTGCGATTTTGGGCCATTCGAGATGCTTCCGTGGTCTTGGGCATTCTCAAGGCACATCCTCTGTTGGCACAAGAGACTTTCTTTTGTGGGTGCGTTTGCAATGGCAAAAAGGGTCAATCCTTATCTCCTTTGGCATCTCTAATTGCCCTCCAAGCACCTCTCGATATCATTCAGCAAGTGCTAGAGTTATACCCCGATGCTGCATTAGGAAAATGTGAGAGTCGCCAGTCTACTACTAGTGCTGCCTCGGGAGATCCCTGTTTGCCATTGCACGTGGCGGCCGCTACCAGTGGACCCAACAGTTTTTCCTCGGTCCAGTTTCTGGCCCAACGATTTCCTCAGACAGTATCGATTCCCGATGCCAGTGGCAATTTGCCCCTTCATCATGCCTTGCAAAGTCTCTTTGAACACTCCACTCTGGAAACCATCCAGTGTTTGGTGGAGCTGTATCCAAAGTCGGTACTTCAAAAGAACAAGAATGGAGAAACACCCCTGCAATTTGCCATTGAAAATGCCTATGCAGATCCTATCATTGATTATCTTGCGTCGCAACTGCCGTCTCGTCAACAAGAATTTTCGTTTGGAAATTGCTTGACACTCAATATCGACCGATGTCATGCCCTGACGAGACTCTTGCCCTATCTGACATCTCTCACTTGTCGCCCAACCCAGTGGACGTGGGAGGGCATGGACCACTTGTTGACGACACTAGTCAAAAGCAGCAGCACTAGTCGAGTCCAGAAACTGGTCTTGGAATGGATCCCACGAGCCTTTTTTACCAGCAACCATCGCATGGGACAGCACCTACGGGATCTCTTGAGGAACAACAACAATAACAACAACAACACATTGTTGGATCTGCGAATACAAGTCAAGAATGCGTGGTTTGACAAGAATCGCAACTCGGACATTCTCTGTTTGGAAACACTCCGTGGAATCCTGCAATCGGCAGTGTTGCCCCCCGAGTTTCGCTTTTCCTTATCACTGCACTCTTTCCAGTTGTACAAGGATACATTGGAACAGTTTATCCAAAAGGCGCAACCAAGGCGGTTGTCCTTGAACTGCTGCACCATTTTTGAGAGTGCTTCCGTGATTGCTAGCAATTATGCCGTTCCTGCTGCCACCGGCACAGCGACGAGGGACGGTATGTCGTTGGAACGTCTCGAGCTGGTGCAAACTCGCATGTCCAACACCATCTTTCAAGCGCTCTTGGCAACGATCCGGCAAATGCAACATTTGAAACACCTCAAACTCATCTTTCGAAGGACCGAAGACTTTGGAGATGTGCGTGGGTTACTCGACATGACCGACTTTGTGGCAGACATGCTCCCACAGTTGGAGACTCTGACGGTGGAAGGTCTCTTTGTGGCGCCCAAGCTATTGGCGCAATTTGCCACAACCCAGCAGAAATCCGCAACCATCCAAACCAATTGCTACATGGAGTACATTCAATATGGAAAAATGTGCCGCAGTTTGCAGTATTACACAGCATTGAAGTACTTTGGTCAGTCCCTGCACACATACAGTGCGGGTGGTGTGGCCAGTAAGACGAACTTTCTCCAAGTGATGAAGGATCTTGACGAATTTGAGGATATTCCAGAGGTAAATGTGAAGGATCAGATTCGGTACGGTCTGCTAAACGAATGGTGTCCGAGTCTTTGGAGCAGTTAGTTTGGTGTCCTGATTTTAAACTCTGGCTACTCGATCTGCAAATGCTATTGCTCACAATAATATGATAACTTCTACATAAAATCCATGTCAACGTTGCTACCAGCTTTTATGTTTAGAACGAATCGCCCATGTGTCTGTCACACGGTGTTGCTTAGCTGTTCCGCTCTTCATTTATCATTCTCACTTTCACTTTGATTTTGGATATTCATGGCATGGAATCTCTGTCAGGGTACCGGTAGCGGCAGATAGTTCGTGTAGTCCAAGCGTACCGTACTGTACTCTCAAATGATTCGATTCACCCGAGAAACCTATTTCAAAGCCAAGGTGATTGCACTGTGTCGCTTCCCGAGCACGGAGTGGTCGTCGACGTTTTGCAGTAAGTATGATGATGCCTATCGAAGTCGGCAAAAAGGATCCAAGTCCGTAGCCATTCATTGCCCACTGGTTCCCTGGAGCCGTTTCTGCAGTATTGTTACTCGTTTGCCCTTGGAGATTTCCCCCTTGTTCCTCGGGGAGCAAGCAGTTAGGACCGGCGGTACTGATATGTAGCGGTATGGAATCGACGAGTTCACCCGCCCCTGGTTGTTCAGCAAGGAGACAGCTCACAGAGGCAAGCACACATACCACAGCGTGTTTGCTTCGACACCTACTACGTCATTGCAACTTCTGATCGTCTGCGGGCAATTTCGGCATACTGCACCCAGTCGCTGCAACACACACACACAAAAGATTCACTGGCGTCATGAGAGCGGTGCAATTGGAGGTCGTTCGCTTCACGACAGTTTTTGCCTACCTTTTGAGAGTGATGACAGAGTAGAGGATTACCAGCATGCCATATCCGATTGCCATGCCAGTATACAGACCAAAAAGATCACTTCTCCAATACTGGGTGCACAAAATGACCCCAGGTACTTGGCCTAATTAAGTAAGAGGCGCACGTGCAAGAAAGGAGAACCAGGAATTGAGACAACCAGCAGTTTGAAAAAGAAACAAAAAGCCACCATTTAGTAGTCTCTCACCTCCCCACGACGCCAGAAACCCCGTCCAGAACAAATCTCTCGTTCGACCCATTGAATATGGAATACGTTCAATGGCCACACCCAGGTTCATGAAGAATAGAGTGAACGTGAATGGGACACTGGCTTCGTTGAACATTTGCAAGAAGACGGGGTCCTCGGTGAATATTCTCCCAAACCAGTCGCTGTGACATAGAATCAGGGTACTCAAAACCGTGAGTATGGCAGTCGCCATGGCAATGCCAACATAACCCGCTTGTCTGGCACCTTCCGGTTGATTTTTTCCGAGTCGTATACTCATATTGATGGCCGATGCATTGGACATGGCGCCGACCATGATGAGCGCGATCCACATGATTCTGTAGCTAGTATTGAATACTGCAACTTGTTCTTCTCCCAATCTGGCAGCGATAGCCCCGATCACTGCCACCCTCCAAAAGTCCGACGCCAATGACATGGCGGCCGGAAAGTATAGTTCACAATACGTGTTGATGCGCGCCCATGTAATTTCGTTCCAATCCCATCCACCCCAACAGGGTTCATGTAGTTTTTGCCTCCACAGATAGACAATGACCAGTGTTGCCAATTGGATATAAGTGACGGCCACTGTCACAATGGGACAGGCCGTGAACTGATATCCCTCAAATCCCGGAATGGGCCAACCCAGAACAAAGACCAGTCCTAAAATCAGATTGAGTGACAATCCGACCATGGCACTGTTTCGTTCGGGATGCATAATCCGTTGTGCCGAAAAGAAATTGGAGAATTGTCGAAATGCCACAATGGCGGGAATGGCAAAACTGAGGACCCGGGCGTAGTATCCGG